CCCCAAAACCCCAAAACCCCAAAACCCCAAAACCCCTTTTGAGATAATCAGATTTGAAAATTGAAAATTATTTTGGAAAACGGCGCTTATTAACCTGGAAAAGATTGGATGATACTTTCTTTTCACACTTCTGAGGGACTGGAATTGAGCTGTTGCTATAGATTTGATGAAGATTAAGCAAAAAGATATTGGATAATTCTTTGATTCATTAAATATTGATAAAAATTGCTAAAATATCCAAAACTAGCAGCTGTGGGTATATAAGGACCCTCTATTATTACCTAAAAGGTTTCACTTCTTCTCAAGATATCTGATTTATACCACTCTTAAAGCTTTTATTCTCCTTGCCAATGGGCTTGCTTTGGACTTTCTGCCCAGAATATGGCTTATGTGGTACGGTTTTATTAACTTTTAAGTTCTTGCTTGGATCTGCCCTTGTCTTCAATTTTGCTCTATTTTGTTCATTTTTCGAGAAATCTTTAAAACGAAGATTTAGTTTCCTTCCTTTCATTTTAAAATCTTGGTTTAGGTTTGACTTCATAATTTTTACTTTTTGGATGTTTATTGATGGCTTTGCTCCATTTTGAAGACTCTTTCTTGAGTTTTCTATATACAAGGTTACTCAATGCATCGTATAGATTACCTTTCTTAATGTTAAGATCTATATTTGATATTGAATCTTTCTTCTTGTGTTTAACAAGTTTGCTTGTTCGCTTGTTCAGACTTTCATTAAGTCAATTCATGCTGTTATCACCGGTGAGAATCTTGGAAGATTTGAAATTGATCCTCCCTTTGTTATAATTTTTGAGGCTTTTGTATTTAATTTGGTCTTTAGGCCCTTCATTTTCTGTTCCAGCTTGGGTCAGTTTCAGATTAGAATTGAGCATAATCCTGCTAGGAGACACAGAGTTGTTCTTGATGGTTCTTTCCTTATCTTCTTTACATTTCTTCACGTTCTTCTTGTTCTTGAGTAAGATTGATGAGCGAGGGATAACTACTGATTTATTTCTAATTTTGCTCTCTTCCTCTTCTGTGTATTGGCATATATGTTTCTCCATGATGCTTTTCTCAAATTCTTCGTAATTTTCAACGACTGCTGAAGGTCATTGGCTGTCATTATCCTCTTTCCCAAAAGTAGGATCTCTAGTTACCTTCTGAGGAGCTTCTAAAGCAGATTGTGTAATACTTTCTTCAGTCTTTCATTGGCTTTGGACATAATTATTGTGATACTTCTGTGAGGCTAGAATAGATTTACTTGAGCTCTTCTCTTGAAGTTTTCTTGATTCTAAAGAGTCTCCATAAGTAACAAAGTTGCTTAATTTAACATTTCAAAATTTTGAGGAATCTTTTTCACTAGTTTCTTGGTCTTTTTGGGAAGATTTCTCCTTTTCATCTCAGAACCTTCCAGTTTCATCATCAAAGATGCCAAGGGAAGACTCTACCATATTCTTGTTTGCTCAGCCTTGAATCTTTATCAAGCCTGTATTTTTAGTGATATTACTATGATCGAAATGAACACTGTCAATATTCAGTTCTTGGTCTAGGAAAGAATTGTGGTTATTCATGTGGCTCTCTTCTTCATCTAAATGCATCCTGCTTCTTTCGTTATCTGTTTTAAGGAAATCTTCAAAGTCTCTTTCTATTTGAATCTGAGCTTCATCGTTATTTTTCACTTTATGTACAGAGGAAAGATCTGAGAAAAAGCTGCTGTTGAAGAGATTAGAGTGCTTAGGATCTTCATTGTCTAAATCTAAGGATTTGGCATCTTCTTGGTCCTTTTCATCGTAGATTATCATCGCATCTTCATCATTGAAAGTATCCAATGAGCTTTCTTTGTTCGTGACCTCAATAAGTTCTCCATTGGTGTTGATATTGAAGGGATACATCTTCCTCTTTTGTTTCTTGATTATTCTGCCAAGATTTAGATGAGGAATTTGAACTGTTTGGCCACCAGCTGCTTCAGTGATGACGAACAGGTTTCCTTCGGGATCTTCTATCTTTCTTGCAGACTCCATTTTCTCAGAAGAAGATGAATGGAGTCTATTTTCACTGTAAATCTCACTAGGAGAGCCATTAACCTCTGGTTCTAGTCCATAGAATTGTTTTGAGTTGATCTTCTCATGCATTTCCTCCACATAGGTAAGATATTTGACATCAATTTCATTTTGCTCTTCTGTGTTTAGATACATCTCAGGTTCAGGAGAAGTTTTGTTAAGCCTCACTTCATTACAGGCATCTTTTATCTCAGAGATTTGGGAAAAATTTCAATTTTCTTTATCGAATTCACAGTTTTTATCATTAAGCTTTTTCTCTAGAAAGTTAGGAGAGAGCCTACCCTGCTTCCTTCGGAGCGATTCCTCTTTTATTTCCTCTTTAATCTCTTTAAGGACTTCTAGTTCCTTGGGAAAGCCTATATCTATATCTTTGGTCTGGGTAAAGGAAGACTCTTTGAGGAAGTCAAAGTTGTCTTTGACTTCTGATTGCCCAAAGAAAGACTGGATAGCTTGACTTACGCTATCCTGACTAAAGGTTTGGTTGAAGTTCACCTCTTTGTTAGTCTCTAAAGCTTTCTGCTTAATGGTCATGTCATTCATAGTAATCTTTTCATATTTTAATACAAGTTCTTTAAGTTTATGAAGTCTTTTTATAGTTTCAGCGGAAATTTTCATTTCCTCAGATTTTCTTAAAAGAGTGGTAAATTTGAGAGGAGGATCATCATTTCCTCCGGTGGTACCTGAAATATTATTGCCAGCTATACCAGAATTCTCATTCCTGTTGTTAAATGGCTGGTAATTATGAAGATTTAGTGGATTGATATTCATAGTATCCCTCTCTGCCTCTATTTCCAGAATATTCTCCTGCCCGGTGAAGCTGTTTTGAGAATGAGCATTTAACCTCCCAGAGTTTTCTCCAAAAGCAGGGTTTATGTGAACACTATCTGATCGGTTGACCTTAGAAGAGACCTTGTGAAAGGACCTATCTGAAGTGAGAATCTCTGATAGCTCCTTTTTAATATTGGCAAGAGCTCTTTTATAGTATAACTTGATTACTTTGTTTTCGTTCTCATATTTCCATAGCATCTTAGAATCATCAATGAGAGGATTCTTGAATTTTCAGCCGGCTTCATCAAGAGTTTCCAGCCCAGAATGGACTGGATACATCTCTTTAGGGATTAGGCTGGATTCAAGGTTAATGTCTTTATTGATCTTCATGCATTTCTGCTGAAATTCCTCGAAGGCTGTATCTCCTGCATTTTCTATCTCCTTAATCCTACAGGCACATGTATTCACAAGGGAGGATAGAGTAGGAATTTTCTTGGTCAAGCAGCTCATCAAAGATTTCAAGTCATTCAGACTAATAATATTCTTCATTTCTTGGTATTTCTGTGAATAAGATTCCAAGTTTTCTAAATTTAGGTTAATTTTAAATTTTCTTAAAGACATTTTTAAAGGTATCATATGGGTAGTTAGTAACACAAATGAGTGAATTGCTAAGTAAATCGATGGATAATTTATAATTAGGCATTATTTATGGACTTACTCATTGTGTCCTGAATTTCAAGGAGACTTTCGGAGATCTTAAGGCAATCCTTATTGATCTTCATAGAAAATGCTTTGTTCAATTTTCGAAAGATCATGTTGACGTTTTTGCATTTCTGAAATTCATCCGCAAACTCGATGAAGCTAATCGAATTGTTGTTTCCCACATTTTCCTTGTCGGGTCTACCTGCAATAGCTTGTTTTATATTCTTGTTACTTTTGGTTAGAGTCTTATCGATAAAGTCCGCCAAACCAGAGTACTCTGAAAAATCTTGATTGATCTGGGCCTCTTCAATATATTCCAAAGCAAGTGATTCATTTTTCATTGGTAACAGATTTTGATTTTTCTTTTTAGAGCTGCTATATTGGTTGCTATTGGAATCATCACAGAATAACTCTTGAGCTAGGTTATCTAAACTTGAGTCATTCCCACCCTTGATTTCTTTTGACATGTCACTAATATTCGACAAGGAATTGATAGCAACTTTTTGAAGGTTCGAGATGCTAAAATTACTATCTTTTATGCTTTTGAGTCAAAACTCTTGATTTGAGCCCTCCATGTTTTAATTTTATTGAAATTCCGATTTTCAAAAGTTTAAATTTGCTAGGGGTTTTGGGGTTTTGGGGTTTTGGGGTTTTGGGG